GACCTCCAGACCAGCTGGCTGTGAGAATCAGCTGTGTCTGCAGTGGGAGAACTTCTGTCCTCTAGGGAAGTGCTAATCTGGCCTTTGCCTAAGGCTATCCCGCAAATGCCTCTGTGCAAGGCTTGGGCAGGGCAGGTCCCAGGGGATCAACAAGTCGGATGGAGGGAGCAGTTATGGCTGCTCTCAGTCTCATCCCCAGAGGCTCTGCCTCTCAGAGTCCCAGCAACCGCTGCAAACCTCAGAGAGAAAGCTGCCCTCGAGTTCCCACCGATGCCAGACAGTCCCGCTTCTCCCGTTTGAGTCTGGGTCCCCAGGGACTCACCCGAAACTGGAGCTGAGCGTGTGAGACTCCCTCCAGATTGAAACACAACTGCACCCTCAGCCACAAGCCTGCTCCACACGCACCTCGCACCTTTGTATTTTCTGCACTGCGCCTCCTCTGAGTCTTGGTATGCTTTTCTCTCCTTCTAGTTGCTCAGAGCCTGAGACTCCCTCCAGATTGAAACACAACTGCACCCTCAGCCACAAGCCTGCTCCACACGCACCTCGCACCTTTGTATTTTCTGCACTGCGCCTCCTCTGAGTCTTGGTATGCTTTTCTCTTTCCTTCTAGTTGTAGAATTTCCCCTCAGCCAGCCTTCTTGTGGTTCTGGGTGATGTTTGTTCTGTCTTTAGTTGTATTTTTGAAGTGATTGTGAGAGGCAGCAATCTCCGGTGTTTACCTATGCCACCATCTTGGTTTCTCCTACATTTTTGTGGGGTTTTTTATTAAAAAAAATATGAGCCCTAGTCAGTTTGGCTCAGTGAATAGAGCGTCGGCCTGTGGACCAAAGAATCCCAGGTTTGATTCTGGTCAAGGACACATACCTTGGTTGCAGGTTCCTCTCTGACCCAGGCCTGGTCACGGCTTGTGCAGGAAGCAACCAATCAATGTGTTTCTCTCACATTGATGTCTCTGTCTTTCCCTCCTTCTTCCACTCTCCCTAAAAATCATTGGAAAAAATATCCTCGAGTGAGGATTAACAAAAAATAAAAATAAAAAACATGATAAACAGCAGCATTAAATCTGCACATCCATGATTATTCAGGACATATTACTCAGTGTACTAGATACTCAATAAGTCTCTTGATTTCTACCTTACCTTCCCTTCTAGTTGGGATTTCATCTTTCCTCCTTGGCTCACATATACATGAGCAACCTTCTGAGTTAACCCTCCTGGTTCAGCCTATGTCCCAGGAGTTCCCTCAGACATATACACTCTTTATCTGGTCTATTCTATTCTGACTTTCTACATAGAAGTAAAGCAACAGGAGCCCAAACTAAATTCTACTATCCACTTGGTGGCAGTATTTCCTAAATGTTTTGAAGAATATCTGGGAGGAAATAGGCACCTTCTGTTATTTCAAGAGTACTTTCCGTGTAAACCCAACCCCATAAAGTGATGTCCAGTGTCACATGAATGGAAAGAGGTAGGATTGTTTCGGCAGATACTTACTAGGTTAGTACAGTGGTATGGTAATTCTAGAACTTTGCATTGAGGGTTGCTTCAACAAATAGCTTCTTTTTAAAAGCTTTTGTTAGCCCTGGCTGGTGCCCTCCCTCAGTGGTTAGAGAATGGGCCCACACACTGAAGGGTCAAGGGTTCGATTCCCAGTCAAGAGCATGTACTTGGGTTACGGGTTTGATCCCCCGCTGACTCTCAGTGATATTTCTCTCTCTCTCTCTCTCTCTCTCTCTCTCTCTCTCTCTCTCTCTCTTTTTCTCTCCCCCTCCCTGCCTCCCTTCCACTTTCTCTAAAAAAGCAATGGAAAAAATATCCTCAGGTGAGTATTAACAAAAATAATAATAGTAAAGGAAGGAAGGAAGAAGGAAATTTTGTGTTAATTTTTCTTATTAAAATATTACGTTGCAGACATTTTTTGAAATAGAGAAAAGAAGTCACATGTTTTTACTTGTATTCCTTTCTGGTTCTTTTTTCACTAAGCATATTTTTACAGTTGTAATCAAACTGTACATAGGGGAGTCTTTCCCCCTCCCCATGTGGGAGTCTGTGCTTACTAGTATTTCTCAATAAATTTCCACCTTTGCTATACCACCTTTCAAAAAACAACAACAACAAAACAAACTGTCCACCAAAAGTGGTTTGGCTCTGTTGATAGAGCGTTGGCTTCCGACTGAAAGGTCCCAGGTTCGATTCTGGTCAGGGGCATGTGCCTGGGTTGCGGGCACATCCCCAGTAGGAGATGTGCAGGAGGCAGCTGATCGATGTTTCTCTCTCATTGATGTTTTTAACTCTCTATCTCTCTCCCTTCCTCTCTGTAAAAAATCAATAAAATATATTTTTTAAAAACTGTACATAAAATTAACTTCTATTTCCTCCTAGCATTAATCAGGTTGAAAATTAATATATTGAAGTAAAATGTTAAGAATAGTTATTTCTAGGAGAGGTGGTTACAGGTGATTATCTCATATAGTCAAAGTGGATTTTCCTTATTCTCTCTCACATCATTCTATTTCCTTTGAAATTTCATCTTTCCTCCTTGGCTCACATATACATAAGCAACTGTCTGAGTTAATCCTTCTGGTTCAACCCAAGCCCCCAGAGTTTTACCAAACAACATACACACTTAAATGAGTTCCTTCACCTATCACAATCTCTAGTTATCTAGCTTATATACTTTACTAGAGGCTCGGTGCACAAAATTTGTGCATGGGTCTCTAGGCCTGGCCAGCAATCATGGCTGATCAGGTTCACCACCTCCTGGCCTCCCTGCCGCCTCCTTCCCTCGCTCCCTCAGCACGCTGCAGCCACTGGTCCCCTGCCATGTTTCACACTGTGTCCTGGTGGTCAGCACATCATAGTGAGTGATTGAACTCCTTTTCTCCTGGTCAAACTCCCAAGGGGACAATTGGCATATTAACCTTTTATTATATAGAATTGTGTTAGTTCAGATTCTCTGAACACAGGCTCTAGTGTAGAGTTGTGTGCAGCAGGTTTATTGGGGGCTGTAAAGAAGAGGAGAAGGCAGCTTTGGGCTGAGGGAGAAGCTGACTGCAATGTGGCTGTTATTGAGGAGGCCTCCGCCACGCCTGCCACAGCTCTGAAACTGGGATGGCTCTTTAACAAAATCAAATACTTGAGGCCCGGTGCATGAAATTCATGCGGGGGGTGGGGGGGAGGTCCCTCAGCCCGCTTGCACCCTCTCCCAATCTGGGACCCCTCGGGGGATGTCTGACTGCCAGTTTAGGCCTGATTCCGCAGGACATCCCTCCCACAATCTAGGACCACTGGTTCCTAACCACTCGCCTGTCTGCCTGCCTGATCACCCCTAACCACTTCTGCCTCAGCCCCCGCCACCTCGGCTTCATCCTGAAGGACATCCGGAATGATGTCCAGAAGGTCGTTTGGCTGTCCAGTCTAATTAGCATATTTATATATATAT